CTCTCTTCACAGACAATTCTTAATTGAGTTTAGGCACATTCTGTACATTTTTAGATCAGCATCAAAGCTAGTGTCCATCCAGTGATAAGCAGTTAGTTCTCAGGTTTCAAAAAAAAAAAAATACACACATACACACAGAAACAAAGACACACACACACACACACACACACATAAAGCCTTTACTTTCTACATTTTTCCATGTCTATATATATGCATATACAGTATATGTGTGTGTATGTATACACACATACACAGCCTTTACTTTCTACATTCTTTGCACACACACAAACATATTTTCCATTAAGTTTTTAAGACTGTAATGTCCCTATTGCCATAAAATAAAAACAACATAGAGCAAGATATGGCCTCAAATGTTCAACTGGGATTATGTATAAATACTGTGGATTGAATTAACTCTAAGTTTTACCCAGAAGATCACTATGTAGTTGTGATTGGTAACACAGTCAGCCAGATATTTAGACTGAATTTGGCATTTTTATCCACCTATCGAGTCCTTCCCAAGCACATGAGATTGTCTGTTCCTCTGTTTGTCCTATTAATCCCATGTAAACCTGTAGATTACAACTAATCTGGGTGAACAACAATATTATTTGTATTACAATATATTATAAAAGACTTATGATATTAGTTATTAACAGTGCTAAGTTGTCCAATTTGTAGAAATGTTATTTGACTTGTGTCTGCATCAGAAATAACTTCCAGGGAAATGTGTCTTTAGAAAAATGTATTGATTTCCCCTTAGGAGAGAACAATATATGTATGTAGGAGAATAAAAAAGGGCCAATTTCATTCTTTTCATTGCAGTTATAGCCATCGGACAGAAACAAATAGATTCCTTCTCTCAATGTGTAAAAATTATGTGTATCTTTTCTATGCGTATATGTAGAACTTCCCTTGAGAAGTATTCACAGTTGCGATTGGTGTAAAATCAGGTCGCTAGGCTGTTTATAGTTTCAAAGGACATGTATCATATAATGCCTCCATTCTAAGATCAGCATTTATTAATAATCCAGTACAACCAAAATGATATTGTATGCATTATGTCAATAATTGTGCAAATGGCATCATAACACAAGTGACATCACTTGCTAGCCCTTGCTCCCTCAGCAGTTTTCCAATTGTCTGTGCTGGTTGCCAATTGCTTAGCACAAGGGTCCCTAATCCCCGGTCCATGGACCAATACCGGGCCGCGGCATGCTAGCAATGGGGCCACACAAATAAGCAAAGCCATATCCGCGAGATGCAGACAGTACACAAAACCATGCACCCTCCGGTCCGCAGAAAAACTTCTCTCCATGGAACTGGTCCCTGGTGCCTAAAAGGTTGGGGACCTGTGGCTTAGCAGATACAATTTAAGAAGTTAGTATGAAGCTCTGAAGTCTTATTATTTAATGACTAGTTTCTTTTCTTACAAATCTATCCAGGAATTATACTCTATAGGAGAGGCTTTTTCAAGAACATGCTTCCATGGTTATAGTCCTTCTCCTGGGTTGTTTGCAGAGCTTTTCTTTCTTAATTTATACAAATAAATTAAAGCCCAGCAATAGCACTGATTCCAACTTGCTTGCAAATAATCCCCCCCCCCCCGAAGATTTCATTGAAGAAATCCAGAGGGATTTTTTTTAAAACTGGATATAAGAATGTAAAGCAATATTTGTACTAAAGCAGTTAAGCTGTTTGTAAACATGTCTTTCCTGGATCTTAATTTAAACAGGACAAAGAAAATGTTTTGTTGTTCTTCCTGGGATTTGAGTTAATTCAAAATGGGGCAACAAGTTAAAAAGAAAAACCCCCTACCATGTGTTTCTTTTTTAATTAGCTAATAGGTATGCAGGTTAAATCCAAAAAAGATTTGGAAAATGAGTTCAAAATAAACACCTTAAACTGCTCCTCTCGTTCTGTTTGAAAAATTTTTTTTTTCTCACTCTTTTTTCCCTCCGTTTTTCAATTATTGACTCTGCTTTGAGGGAATTCTAGGTTCAAAGCACCCTTTTGCATAAAAAAACACTCTTGAAAGCATAATTTCGTTTACTGTTGGCTTGGAACTTGTGATAAATGAGCCCTTGCCAGTAAAGTGATGGTGACATAGCATGCTGGCAGAGTTTGTATCAGAACAGCTAGAGAATGAATGTGGCCATCAACTTTGCTAAGAGAAAAACTCACTTATTCCTTGATTCTAAGCTATTTGTGTAAGTGGAGAGTGTGCATTTTTGTAGGATAGAATCTCTTATTTAGATGGATGTCTCTTAGGCACATCCTATCTCTGATATGGGTTACTTATGGTTAATGGATAATCCACATTAATGGAATGGTCAATGGATAAAACACATTAATAGTCACACAAAATGTGTTCAGATGTTTAGGAATTGCAACGCCCAGGGATTGAACAAAACATTTGGCAAAATCAAATGAGCCAAATTAAGGCTTAATGGGATACAGTATGCCAATTCAGTCTTCTAGTGAATGGGGGTCTATGGAGATTCTCAGTCATCCAGGTCATAGTTATCCCAAAGGTGCTTTTTCACAAGGCAACTGAACTTCCTTGTTTTTCTTTGATGTTTCACTTCTCATCCAAGAAGCTTCTTCAGTTCTGACTGGATGGTGGGGAATGGAAAGATTTATAATGAATGGGTGTACTATTTTAGATTTCTGGTGTAGATGTGGAAGGGGATGTGGACAAGAAACAATGGTTGGAAACTGACCAAAGAGAGAAGCAACCTGGAATTAAGGAGAAACTTCCTGACAGTGAGGACAATCAACCAGTGGAACAGCTTTGCCTCCAGAAATCGTGGGGGCTCCACCACTGGAGGTTTTTATGAAGAGACTGGACAGTCACTTGTCTGAAATAGTATAGGTTCTCCTGCTTGAGCAGGGGGCTGGACTAGAAGACCTCCATGGTCCCTTCCAGTTCTATTCTATTCTATTTAAAAAGCACATTTGCAAGTTGTGAAGTTTATCTGGAGAATTGGAACGAGGATTTATAAGCTTCATCTGAAAATTTGAATGAACACCAGACATCATATGTGAAATTAAAATTGCCAGAGTTCAGCAATTTTATGCAAATAATTAATGTGACCTAGAAAATGGAAGAGAATACAGGTAGTCCTCAACTTATAACCTCAATAGAGCCCCAAATGTCTGCTGCTAAGCAAGGCCCTTGTTAAGTGAGTTTTTGCCTCACTTTACAACCTTTCTTGCCACAATTGTTAAGTGAATCATGTGGTTGTTAAGTGAATCTGGCTTCCCCCATTGACTTTAATAATACTAATACTAATACTAATAATAATAATAAAAGTTGGAAGGGACCTTGGAGGTCATCTAGTCCAACCCCCTGCTCAGGCAGGAAACCCTATACCATTTCAGACAAATGGCTGTCCAATCTCTTCTTAAAAACTTCCAGTGTTGGAGCATTCACCGCTTCTAGAGGCAGGTTGTTCCACTGGTTAATTGTTCTAACTGTCAGGAAGTTTCTCCTTAGTTCTAGGCTGCTTCTCTCCTTGATTAGTTTCCATCCATTGCTTCTTGTCCTGCCTTCAGGCACCTTGGAAAATAGCTTGACTCCCTCTTCTTTGGGGCAGCCCCTGAGATACTGGAACACTGCTATCATGCCCCCCCCTCGTCCTTCTGTTCATTAAACTAGACATACCCAATTCCAGCAACCGCTCCTTATATGTTTTAGCCTCCAGTCCCCTCTGCTTCTTAGAAGCTGGCTGGAAAGATTAAAAATGATGATCACATGACCCTGGGACTATGCTCCAATTTTGATCACATGAGAGGATGCTGCAGTAGTTATGTGTGTATGAAAACTGATCACAAGCCACTTTTTGCAGTGCCATTATAACTTTAAAAAGTCACGAAATGAATGGTTGTTAAGTAAAGGACTACCTGTAATTTAAAATGGGGACTGATATTGCAGGAAACTGAAAATGGATATTTGTTTTAGGTTTATGACAATACAGCTAGGTACCAGCCTCTAGGGCCCTCATCCCATATTTGAAAGTACAAATGACTTACAAGTGATGTGGGCAGTAATAGATCTATATACTGTGAAGACCTTCTTTGTGGTGACTGACCTGAACATTTTTTTAGATTTTATTTTAGATTCTTTACATTCTTTCCATTTTCTAAAAAAAATGAAAAGATTGAATGATTGTTTCAACCATAATCCTTATTTTGGTGAATGAGAAGGGTCTACATAAGCTTGGAGACATTACTGAAAAATAAAAATCGGAGGTGATAATAAGTTGTTCAAAGTCAAAATAATATATAAAATTATAGAAGCATATAATCACTTACCTAATGAAGAACTCTCCGAAAAGATTAAAATTACAAAATCCAAATGCAAATTAAACTCAATCAGTTTTTCGCGAATAATCTTGACAACCTATTTTATTCTCTTAACTTTGCTTTATTATTCTGCATGTATGTCGGTATTTTTCATTTCAGCAGAATGAAGCTAGGGAACATCAGTGTTTGTAAACAATATTTGTATATCGTACAATATTAATTTCTGTTTAAAGTAATTTAAAATAATTATAAAATAATTCATCATGTATTTCTAGCTTTGAAAAGAACAAATCGGTTAACATGCTGAAAAAACCCAATCAGAAAAGGACAGACACTTCATTATTTTTTTACTGCAGCAGTTAAGTGGTCTGCTGCTCAGAAGAAATACTTAGATTTAGCTTGACAGTTTTAAGAGCACTTTAGGTATGTTTCTGTTTTCTTTCTTGAAAAATTAAAACATTGACAAGGATCAGCAACTAAACATAAGGCTATTAGAAATGAAATTAACACAGGTACCTTAAACAGCAGGAACAAATAACAGAATTGGTGGAATTAATAAAAGCTATCAATGGGTATTCAGTATTAGTGTAGAAGCCCAAATTTATAATTACATTACAAAATAAATTTAAAGGAATCCAGTCATTTTACAAAAGAGTTTCCTCTTTAGTTCTTCCACCTTTCTTTTGACATTCTTACAAGTCATATATCTTGTTGGCGTTTTGCCTTAGAACAGCTAACATGGCAGGTAATGACACTTCTTTGAGGCAGGCAATCTCTTTCACTGTGTGCAGAGCTACTCCTGGATGCGAAAACCGGCTTACACGTTTTGGCACCTGTCGAGGAAGGAAATAAGGTGCATCTGTTTCTACCACTATTCTGTTTAATGGGATTTTCTGAACAGAATCTCTAACCTCATTTGCTGATGGGTAAGACAGCAAAGCTGTGAATCCAACTTTTAGATTTGGAAAGTAGTCTAAAAGTGGTTCAATGACATTATAGCGGCCAGTGAAACAATGTCTGTGTATTTTGTAGTCTTTTGGTACACATTTCTTCATGATTTCTAACAGATCACCATCAGCGTCTCTACAGTGAATGACCAATGGCTTCCTTAAGGAAACAGCTAGATTCAGTTGCCTCTCAAAAACCTCATGCTGCTTTGGAATTTCTGTATGGCATTTATAAGAGTAATCCAGTCCTATTTCACCAAAGGCAATAGATTTGGGGTGTCTCATTGCCTGCATGAGATTTCTTTCATGAAGATCTGTGTAATAACAAGCAAAGTGGGGGTGGCAACCAAATGCTCCCCAAACCATATCTTCCTTTAATAAATCTTCCCATAAGTTGTTTTTTAAAGTACGAGGATCACAAAAGTTAGTTATGCAGCCCTGAAATTCTTTAGGAAAGGTGCTGCTGTATCTTTTCCTAAATTCAAAAAAAGTTCCTCTGAAAGATGTTTTTGAATATAACATGTCCAAATGGCAGTGTGTGTCAATAAAGCCGCCTTCTAAATATTTGGGCAAGCTTGTAGGCAAATCTTGGTCTACACAATTATTAGTGAAAGAATCTGACTTACATGATGAAGAAAAGATGGGAACATATCTTCCTCTTTCCATATTCTGAGGTCTTTTTTTCTCTTTAAAGTCCAATGAAGCACCATGTGGGCACACTCTCTCTTGCACATGTTCCACCGAAGGTTTTTTATTCTTTGGAGCATTTATCGTTCTTTCTAAAGAAATGTCATAGAGATTATTGGAATATGAAATGTTTTCAGTGGGTCTTGTAAAAGAATGCATTGGCTTTGGATTGCTTGTCCGGTATTTTGTATAATCATTCATTTTCTGACTGTAGAAATGAGGAGGATACATCACAAATTCTGTTGTTGGTGCTGACATTTCCATCATTTCTGAAGGTCTGCGATTAGGGATGGAATCTTCTTGTGAAAAGGCAACCACTGGTTCACCATCTTCCATGTTTTGTTGTTTTGTGCCAGCACTAAAGATTTTTACAAGAGGCTTCTGATTGTTGCTATTCTGCTTGGTATCTTCACTTTCATATTTTGAATCTTCAGAGACCAATCTCCAATGGGTTTCTGATTTCCAATATTGTTTTTTACTTTGGCTATTCCAGTCAGAAGTTTTACCTAACTGTTTAGGAGAGACTTGGCTATTGTTTTGCTCTCCAATTTCTGAAAAGCTGAACTTGCTTTTAAGTCTGTGTTTTGACTGGTAATTTTCTTTCCAAAACATTTTATTCTGAACATCCGTTTTCTCTTTTACTGGAACCTGTGAGTCATTTGATCCCTGATAAAGTTCATTTTCATAACTTGATCCTGTATGAACATACTTGGAAGTAGTCATTGGCTTGGAAAGTTCTCTTATGCTATACTTAGCATTCTTTTCTGTTTCTGCAACAGGCTTCTTAATGTTGGAAATCTGCTGAGTTTCCAGTTCATGTTCAGGTCTTGATAGTTTATAACTTTGTTTTGAATCAAGTGTTGGTTTGGAATCTTCTTTAACACCATCTCCAGAACTTTTATTAGTTTCTGTAACAGCTTTCTCATCGTTGGGAGCTTGCTGAATATTTTTTTTATCCTTTGGTCTGGATACTTTTGCTCCTGAACTTGACATAACAGATTCATGTCTCGAATTGACACCTGACCAACTTGGTTCTTTATTGTCTTGCTTGACAGAAATGGTATGTTCCTTTGGTGCAGTTTTCAAACAATGTGAATTGTTTCCAATTTCTTGCCCTCTGCTTTTCGGTACTACTGAAAATTCTCCCAGGCTGTTAAGTGGGTCCTCTTTTCCAGAAGAGCTTTCTTTATGAATTTCCTTTATAGATGAAATTTTTCTTCTGGTTTGCAATTGTCCCCCAAATGCACTCAACAGAGCTTTCTGATATATTATTCGAGACCCCTCACCCTGAGCTTGGCCTTTTATTCTTTTCTGGACACGTTCAGCAGACTTTTCTTTTAAGGCACTTTTTTTTCCAGGGACCAGGGTAGTGTTTGTACCTATATCTCTATCATCTTCTTGCTTAATCTTCACTTTCTCAGATTCCTGGGAGGAAAACGCCATGTTTGTCACAGACTTATCAGAAGCAGGGCGGGGTGAGGGGGGCTTTATAAGAAAGCTTTTGCTGGGGGCAAGAGGGTCTTGGCCTTCCTTAGCAATACTGCTAATGGCATCATCTAAGTTCAAATTCATCATCAGAACAATCGCCGGCAGCGAATGAAGTTAGGGGAAACTACTTGCGCGGAGCTGCTGGGGAGAATTTCCTAAAAGCAGCCGCCCTTCCGCCACCGGGACTCGCGGGGGAAGGCTGGAAGCGCTAAGGGAGGCTTGCGGAATTTCGCAGGGGACTTACAGCGAAACTGTCCCACCACTCGACTTCGCGTCTCCTGCTTGGCTGCCTCGATGCTAAATTGCCTTCTCCCAGGCGTTGGAAGCGGCCTCTGTCGCCGCTATGCTGTGCCGTTCATTGATTTGTCCCAGCTGCGGCTCTTTCCCTTGATGACTCGACCCGCTGGATCTGCTTCCGATACCTTCCCTCGCCCTCTTCCCGTCGCGTCTCCTGCCCACGTCCAGCTGTCGCAGCTTCAAAGCACCGGGAGGAAGATGTCACCAGGTCGGCCTGCCCGGTGACAGCCTCCTGAAATGGCTAAGAGTAGGCTACGTCACGGTAGCCAAGAGTACCCTAAAGTAATAGAAGACTAACGGAGAACAACTCTCAGTTTATGTTGAAACAGTATTGCGTGATTGGCATCTACCACCTTGGTAGCTGTTGTGGCTTTGAACATGTCCCCCTAAGCAGCATTTGTGAAAGTGCACACTCTCAAAAGTCTCAAAAGTTCCAACAATCATGCTGGATCAGGCTACTAACTCTCCATTTCATTCCTCACAGTGCTAAACCAAATACAAGTTAAGATGGAGGAATGCATTAACCTTTGATAAATAAAAAAAATATTGTAAGAAGTACTAAGAAGCAATTACAGAAATAATTCCTAGAACTGCAAGGTATCAAATACGAGCTCTGTTTACACCAGTTCAGCTTTGTGCTTTTTCTGTCCTTTGCAAAGGACTAAAAGTAATTTTCTTCTTGCCAGAAGATACAGTTTCCACCAGTTCTTTTGGTTTGGTAGCCTCTTTAGGTGGTATCTTTACCAAAAAGTTGTTTCTTTTAATCGTGAGAGAATTAATATTCACAATTGCCAAATCTCTGTATATAAAAAGAGTTAATTTTGGAAAAGAAGAAATGAGAGGGAACTTATAAATGAATTTCAAGTTAAAAATAAAGACAATTCAAATTAAAACAATTACATATCATTTGTTTAAATAAAATAACGTGTGAAGAGATGGACACGAAAGAGGCATCTTTGCATTCTGATTAACATTATTCTACTGTCTCTTTCTCTAGTTGTTTGGAGTTCTGTGTGGTAGAGAGATATTTACATCTAAGAAAATTTAAATGGCCAACTTTCTCTCAGTAACTTGGAGCAGCTTGCAAAGATAAAAACCCAATATAAAAAACAATTTAAAAAATAAAAATAAGTAAAAACCAGTCTCTTAAGGGGACTGATTGTTGCTTTACATAATTAAATGAGATCCTCTGGTCACAGGTCCACCAAGCCAATAACAAAATTACCTATTGGGGGTATGCACTTTCCCAATAGCTCTATAGTTGAATAATAAAGAAGCTGGTCAGTTCTGATGTAATGGTATGTGAGAATGATCTTGAGAAACTGGGCCCAAAGAGACTGCCAGAGAATGGTCAGATAAGAAACAGCATAGTCTGTAGTTGGAGAGTGGGTGGAACAAGGGACTCAGAAAAGACCTTCCCTAATTTATTCAGTTATACTTTCAGACTTGCAAGGTTCTATTAATATAGCCTTATAACGAGTGGTGGGATTCAAATATGTGAACAACCGGTTCTCTGTGTGGATGCCACTTCTGGAAGTCCATTCTGGGTCTGGGCAACAAAAAAATAGCTATCGGTTCTGCCGAAGTGGTGTGAACTGACTGAATCCCATCACTGCTTATAACAAAGCAGAAATAGCTCATAAAGCAGAAATAGCTTGTCTGGATAACCAGTAAGGCTGACATCTAGTGTGAAACAAAAAAAGATTATACTGGAAAAGCTTACTAAGAAACAAAATATGAATTCTGATCCTTTAAGGCCTCCCAGCAATGTGGCAGTTTAATAAATGTGGCTGATAAGCCATCAATACATTATCCAGAGTCATTAGGGGTGGCCATATAAATTTGATGAATGAATGAATGAATGAATGAATGAAGGAAGGAAGGAAGGAAGGAAGGAAAGAAAAGAAAGAAAGAAAGAAAAAGAAAGAAAGAAAGAAAGAAAGAAAGAAAGGAAAAGAAAGAAAGAAAGAAAGAAAGGGAAAGAAAGAAAGGAAAAGAAAGAAAGAAAGAAAGAAAGAAAGAAAGAAAGAAAGAAAGAAAGAAAGAAAGAAAGAAAGAAAAAGAAAGAAAGAAAGAAAGAAAAGGCAGTGTGGTGGAGTGGTTAACATGGTTCTAGGACCCAGGTCCTAGTGCACCTTCATTCATGGAAATTCATTGGGTGGCAGGAGAACTAGTCACTCTCAGCCAGGCTTCTTTTACAGGTTGTTGTGGGAAGAGGTAGAGCAGAGAGAACGGTGTACATTAATAAAAGAGAATATAGCTAGCTCAGGGCCACAATGTGGAGTTCTTGGTTATTGAATGAAACTGTTTATTTGCAGATGTTTCATTACCCCACTAGGTAACATCATCATCGGTGCATAATACTGCATGGCATACTGCTGATGTTATTGATGATGTTGGGTAACGAAACATCTACAACCATGTACGTGTAATGATACGTGGGAATGATTTTAAGGAGACCAGGGGAATGGTCAGATGCAGTTTAGTCCAGAGGGAATGTGGATGTGACAAATGTCTCAGAACAACACACACACACCCTGCCCAACTTCTTGGGCTGTAAAGGCAACAGAGAAGAAATGCACTTTCAGACTTGCAAGATTCTATTAATATAATCTTAACAATAAAGTAGAATTAGGTCATCTGGGCGTGCTTTCCTTCTGAACTGCCTCATAAGGTTGAAAGAGTATCAACTTGATCTCCTGAATAAAAGTGGGATATAAATCTAATAAACAAGCAAATAGATTTTGGCACAGATCCACAATTACTTCCTTTCACAGACTGAACTTATATTCCTCAAGTTATGACCACAGTTGTGACCAAAATTTCCATTGCTAAGCAAGGCAATTGTTACGTAAGTTGTACCTGATTTTATGACTTTTCCTGCTACTGTTAAGCAAATCACTGCAGTTGTTAAACAAATCATGTAGCCCATTATAAGAATCCAGCTTCCTACATTGATTTGGCTTGTTGGAAACTGGCTGGGAAGGTGGCACATGGCGATCATGAGACCTCAGGATGCTGCAACCATTGTGAATACACGCCTATTGCTAAGCACCCAAATTTTGATCATGTGACTGTAGGAATGTTGCAATGGCTGTAAGTGCAAGAATCCACCTTAAGTCCCTTTTTCAGTGCCATTGTAACTTCAAACAGTTGCTAAGTGAATAGTTGTAAGTTGAGGACTACCTGTAGTGCTGTTTTTTGGTTGTATTGTCAATATGTAGGCTTCCCTAGGAACATTTAGCGATGGGATCATTGTTTAAAAAATGTAATCTAATTTAAAATCTTCCCATCCACACTATTTCCTGTCAGTTGAGAAGCTCATAAAAAGCCCATTTCCATTGTTTACAAGTGTCAGAACTGGAGTAAAATCAAATATTAAATTATGAGATTATAATTCACCATGATTTTAAAAACTGAAAATGTTCCTCATTAATACATATTTAGGAAGTCCTACTTTGTATCCAAAAATGTAGTAATAGAATAATGCAGAAAGAGAATCTTACTATTCCTCTCCCAGCTGTCTTTTCACTCTCTTGATAATTTTTTTTTTAAAAAAACTTTCTTTTTGTGAAGGGTTGGCTAATTGAAGATCAAAGGTGTTAACACTTGGTGACCTGGCTCTGTGCCAGTCAGATAATTATGGTCTGCCACTTTGAATCCCACTGTAGTTTCATTATTAAGATCAATTGTTGTGTTCAAATAATTGGAATACCTTTCTATCTAAAGTCTTTTATTATCTTAGGTAAGTTTTTCCTGACATCTATTTTAGCCTTGCTACAAAATGCATTTACGTTTGGATTCATATATTCAAGAATAATCAAACACTTGATACCATGTTTGTGGGATTGCACCAATTTCAAAAGGTAGCTGAGTGACAGTAAGATTGATCACCAATGTCAAAAAGTCCACATAATGTTAAGGAGAATGTAGAAGATTTGCCCATAGTATGCTCTTGTTAAGGAGACAGGTGTTAGAGAATTCAAAGTAGGATCCCATTAATTCCTACAAAAAGCCCCAGAGCTGATCCTTGTATATCCATTTCAGACAAGTGCCCTAGTAAGTGAATATTGCTTCAATAAGGCTCTGATCTGGACCTTCATTTTACATGCGGATATTGGGAATCACATAATTTTGCAATGATGAATTGGCAGTACAGAAATCCAATATACAGAGTAATGCAGTGCAACAGAGACAACAATGTGGGAAATCTCTTCGATGTGTTCAAAATATGCATTTATTGCTAGAAGATTAATTAAAGAGTCTTCTTAGTTATAAGATGTACAATATAGAGGGCTCTTATGGCTTCACCATTCTAAATTTTTAATGTCTATATTAAAAACTAAGGTATCCATAAACAGTAAAAACAAAAGTCAAGATGGTGGCTGTGACCACATGGCTGAAGCCCTGCTCATTTTTATATACACTTAAAAAAGAGGCAGGCTTCAACAATGTAGTAACAGCTGCCATCTTCACATTTTTAATCCCCCAGGGATGCACTATTTAAAACCCTCTTTAGTATTATTCTATAATGATATATGGGAATGACCATGGGCGACAGGGCAAAGAAACTACAGTTAAGGGAATAGTGAGATAAAAGGCTACGTATCCCTTGGTAAGAATGTGGGCAGGGCATATGGCTCATAAAGGACCCTCCC